ACAATTGCACATTACTTCAAGAGAAAGCTGCAAGATAATCCTATGTATAAGATTAAAGAGATGAGAGCAGATATAAAAATATGTTTAATACAAATGTCAGTTATGAAAAGTGTAAGAGGGCTAAAAGAGAGATTTTAGAGAAACTAGAAGGTAGTTTTACAGATGGCTACAATAAGATTGAGGCATATGCCAATGAGCTTAGAGAAAGTAATTCAGGGAGTGATGTGATCATTAATTTGTCAAAGGATGCACTTGCTCAAGGTGTTAGAAGATTCTTGAGAATGTATATTTGCTTCCATGCTCTTAAGATGGGTTTTAAGGAAGGTTTGAGACCTTTCATTGGCTTGGATGGGACCTTTCTTAAAGGGAAAGCCAAAGGTCAATTGTTAATTGTTGTTGGTTTGGACTGTAATAACCAAAACCTATCCTCTAGCTTGGGCAATTGTAGATAAGGAAACTAAGAGAACATGGAATTGGTTCTTGGAATTGCTTCAAAGTTCATTGGATCTCAAAGAGGGTGAAGGGATTACCTTCATGTCAGACATGCAGAAGGTAGTCTTTCCATTCTAGTTATTTATTTCCTTACTGTTAGGTCTATCTTATTTGTGTCCTTTAACTGTTCTTATTTGAATTTATTTTATGTAGGGATTGATTTAGGCAGTCCATAATGTGCTTCCAGAGTCAAATCATAGATATTGTGTTAAACACATTGAGGCAAACTGGTGCAAAAAATGGAGAACAGATGAGTTCAAGAAGTTGTAATGGTGGTGTTCATGGTGCTCATATGAGGAAGACTTCAAGGACCAATTGAAGAGCATTGGTAAAATGGGTAAGGAAGTTGCAGAAGCCTTACTCAAATATCCTCCTCAAGCTTGGTGTAGAGCCTATTTTGACACAGTGTGTAAGAACCAAAGAGTTGACAATAATTTCACAGAATCCGTAAATGCATGGATTTTAGAAGCTAGGCAGAAGCCAATCATTAACATGCTTGAGAATATTAGGATTAAGCTTATGAACCAGTTGAGGGAGAGAGAAGAATATGCTAATTTATGGGCTACATCTTTCAGTCCACATAGCATGAAGTTATACAATGAGTACCTGAAGATAGCTAATAGATGTGTTGTTAACTCCAATGGTGAATTTGGATATTAAGTTAGAGAAGAGGGAGATACGCACACTGTTAGTATGGCTATGAAGAAATGCACGTGAAGGGGATGGGATCTCACTGGAATTCCATGCCCCCATGCCATTAAAGCCATTCAGTACAAGAAGATTGCTCCTTTGAAGGAAATAAATTGGTGGTATAGCAAAGAAACATACATGCTTACTTATAAACACAAATTGCAGCTAGTCAGGGGTGAAATTTTTTGGAAAGTTGAAGAATCTCAAGCAATGAAACCACCCGAGTTAGTCAAGTTGGCTGGGAGGCCTAAAATCAAGAGATCAAGGCAAAAAGATGAAGCAATCAAGAGGCAAGGCGAGTGGGGAGTTTCTAGGAAGGGAAGAGTTATGACATGCAACAATTGTGGAAAGACAAAGCATAATGCTAGGGATGTGACAAGGTAAGAATTAATTTAGTAATTTCATTCACCCATTAATGGATTTATCTAAATCTCTAACTTGTTTAATAGCCACCCAACAAGGAGAAAAGGCAAAGAATGCTTGATGAAGATGAAGAAGTGGGTCAACATCCACAAGAAGAAATCAACCTTACTGCACCCCATTGTAGTCAAGCAAGTCAAGGCCCAGATTTTATTTTCATGCCTACACCAGGTGTCTATAGTGAGACTTCAAGCAGTTCATTTCCTGCTTTTGAGCATCCAGAACTAGAAAATGAACCAGCTATAAGGCCTATGGTTGTGTCAGAAGAAAAAATAAGGTTTCAGCAGAGACAACAACTATCACAACCTTCAGGATCAAGGGTAATTGCATTCAAAGGTGATCATAATGGTTTAGGTGTTCCATCAAATCTTCCTTACTCACCAGGCAGCCTCACATGGAAGGGAAAAACCGCTATTACAGGAAGACAATTGGAAATGCAAAGTAGGCAAAGAATTGAGAAGTTGGTGCCAAGGAAGAGAAACAAATGATGTGTGGTAGTTGAAGTTTTTTGGGCTTGTAGTTACTGCATTCTGACGGTATAATCAACTGCTATTTTTTTGTTTAATTTGATGGTAAATTGGAGGTCGTATTATGACCAAAGGTCTATAAGTTTTTGGGGGTCATAATTTTGCATCCAACAGTCCATCAAACTGAAATTTGCTAAGTTAAGCAAAATGCAGATTTGTCTCATTTTAGTGTCTCATTTCAGTGTACTAATATGCAGTCCAATTTGCTGCTACTCTTATGAGTAAGGATGAAATAGACAGTGTCTCATTTAATAAGTAGATAACAATTCTAGACTAAAGAACCTAGAAACACCAAGTTTATATTTACCAAGCAAAACTAAGTTCACATTTACAGAAAGAAGTTAATACACCAAGTTCACTATTTGAAAACAGAACTAAAGAACCTGGAAACACTTCCTAATATCCCAAAAATAAGGCACCAAGTTAAGACTTCATATTCAGGACTTGGTACCAATACCAAGTTAAAACATAACTAAAACACTTCAATGTTTACAGCTTAAGTACCAATACAAAAACTTAAAAAGTTGCACTTCATATATCAACTTCACTTCATTAGCATTGCAGCAATAAATCCTATAAATATTGCCCATGAAATCATAATGACGATCTTCATATTTAGGACTTTCTCTTCCAATTTACGAGCTTTGTTCGCTTCTGAATTCTTTAAAGCCTTCAAGACATCCAATCTTTCCTTTAATCTGTCCCTTTCAAGAATAATCGCATCCAACGTCGACTTCATATTGTTGAGCTTAACATTAGCGGCATCCAATTTGTCATTCATATTGTTAATTGTAATGAGCGCTCGATCTGGTAACACATCATCTTGCCATTCTCAATAACCGCACGAGCTTATCTACCAACACAAAGCATACAACTTGTAATTATGAACGGCTAATACAAGTGGGAAAATTAAATTATCGAAAAAAATCAAATGGAACCAGAATAGAAGAAATAATACATACATCAGGTTTAGGGCACTTAAAGAATCTCCTTCCGGGATTATATGGAGTCGTTGAAGTGAAGTGGTTGGCAATTTCCCCACAATGGCACCTCCTCTTTGATGAATAACTACTTTCTGACATGAGGAAACTTGCTATGGTGGAAAACCTTCACAATCCCTTCTATGAAGTTAACAAGAAAGAGAAAGACTTTACAATGGAGCTGAAAATAGCGATGGAAATGAACCCTAGGTCTTTTCTTTCTGAGGGAGATGAAAAGCTTGGTGGGAAAATGGACTAAATTTTACCGATGGGTCTAAGTTTATTAGTTGGGTCAGGCGGGTTTTAATTAAAAGTTGGGGCGGGTCAGTTGGTCCAATAAGAGGATGCCACGTGCTCCTTAAAAATCTGGGAGGGTATTTACACTCCAGAAAAAACCAATTGATTCTATAGATATCTGTACATGAATTATATTGGGGGGAGAGGGGCGATGTTTTTGAGCTCTCTTCTTCATTTTTAAACCCTTTGCTTCTTTAAAAGTATCATTTTCTAATCAACAATGTAAAATTACAAGGTTTCCACTTCTCATATTTCTTTTTTTCTTGTGTGAAACTGAAAGTAAAAAAAAAGTCTCTCTACTCCCGGGTAGGGTAAGGTCTGCGTACACACTATCCTCCCCAGACCACACACGTAGGATTACACTGGGCTGTTGTTGAAACTGGAAGTAAAAAAAAAAGCCTCTCTATCCCCGGGGTAAGGTAAAGTCTGCGTACACACTATCCTCCCCAGACCACACACGTACGATTACACTGGGTGGTTGTTGAAACTGGGAGTAAAAAGAGTCAAGAGGATGAAGACATTTTGTCTTGAAAGGGAGTTGTAGCACCATTGAGCTATGGACAACTTCCAACCTCCATGTTGTTAGAAGATGGAAAATTCATTATAGGACGTCCCAGATTAACTTGGAAGCTTAATCAACAAAATCAAATCTGGCATTTGAATTATGATGCATTTAAATAAGCACCTCTAAGATTGTCTCATACTACACTGTTCTGACCTCCACATATCTCTACACACACCACACTTCTATAAGACACTCTGAAGCCCCAAGCAACAATTGCTTAGAGAAATCAAATCTTTGACCTAGCTCAACCCCACAAACTGGATCTTGGAATTAAAATTGTACAAAACCATATAAGGATACAACCAGGGGCGGAGCCAGAAACCAAGTTACGTGTTCGGCAAAGTTCAGTAACTTTGGTCCAAACTTTATATTTATCTTAAAAAAAAACTATTTAATGCGTATAAATTATTGGTTTAGAACCCAATAACTTAAGAAGACTAGAATACTAAACTCACAAACTTCAAATTATGGCTTCGCCTCTTAATACAACTCATTTCTTCAAACAATGTGAGACATTCTAAAACCCCTCCTCCCCTTTGCACATCAAGATAGGACATCTGAAGAGTGGACAATATTACATGATGCCCAATGTCAGATATATCGAGAAAAAGGTGAATCTGGCTATCAAACCCATATTAAGAAAATAGACCTTAGGTCTAATTCAACCCTGAAAAACTAACTCATGAGGTGAGTTGCCCAAGGTTATATAAGAAGATAACAATACAATCCTTTAACCACTGTGGAACATTCTAACACAATGATTCTAGTGAGAACCATTAGGATATAAAAACAGGTGGGACGCATTAGACGTTATGGTCAAAATCTTATGAGCTCTACATGGAGCAGTTGGTAGGTAGGGTCAAACCCAGATCAGATTTGGAAATTTGATGCTGCCATTTAGAAACATAATCCAAGTCATGAAACGAAAGAATACTTCCTGTCAGCAGACAGCCGTGCAAAGAAGCAGAGATCACTATTGACTTTGAGACCGACAACTATATAAATCTCATGATCTTTTAAAGATTCTACTCAATTTAAGGCTAAAATTATTTCGTAATTAATCAAAGAACAATTAATTACAATATTAAATACTAGGACATATTAGGAAGAAGAAAAAAGGTGAAACGAAAAGCGTGAATCATCATCATGCCTAGGTAATTCAATTCTATACAAAGGTTACAGAAGAAAGTCATTTACAAAAAGTATTTCATCCTGTTATCTTTTCTCATGGCGTTGTATACAGCTTGAACCTGGAGAGTGCAATGAAATCGCATGTCATTATAATGAAAATGATGGAAACGATGGAGTAGATTGACGTTTTTAAGGTGCAACAGATATACCTGCTCACTAGAAACAACTTGAATTGGCCCAATGTTCACTGATACATATTTCCCCCCTGAAGATAACTTCTGCCTCACCTTGCCCTGCATAGAAAAGCAGAAACATCTCAAATTTTGGACCAATTCCCCCACACACACAACAGCGCGCACACGAATATGTATACACATAGGGGTAATTTGGTATGATACAAAAATAACTCTGGGATTAAAATTTAGTACTGTCTTATCCCTCGTTTGGTTACTAATTCTGGAATAAGTTGTCCCAGAATTAAAAATAGTATCGAGATACTTATACCTGCCAGGGGATCAAATAGTGTTCCCAGGAGTAAAATTGACAATCCTAAAATTAATAGGACATATCAAGCAAGCAATAAGAAATAATACCAGAATAACTACTCCCAACATAACTAATCCCAGCATAACTTATCTTCTAACTAATCGTTCCCATAATATTTTGATATACACATAGTATTTGATCTTTCTGCTGTTTAAATAAAAGACGCATGCATGAATAGAATAGTGAATTTTGCACTTGCCACTCTGGTATTTAGAAGTCAATAGTTTCAGATTTCCATGATATAGAGCTGCAAACCTGCTTATTGCCTATACATTTTTTAACCAAGTCCTCATATCCTCCCCATGCACTTACAGGCATAAACACATGTTCCTTTTGTAACACATGTACCTTTGTTTCTATGAATACATCCTCATTTATCCTATTCCTTTGTACTTTTCCACTCTTTTCTTTTTAAGGAAATACAATTGCATAGAAATTGGAAATTACTATATCATTCTATATGAAGTTGTTACGATTCGAGCAGGTTTCGAGCTCAAATCGTAAAGATAATTCCAGAAAGAGAGAACAGGTGAGGGAGAAGAAAGAAGGAGAGAAGATAGAAGAAATTTAGGGTAAAGATAGTTGTGATTTCATTCATATCCAAGATACCTGTTACAATACAACTAAATAGCTGTACAATCCAGCATAGGATCCATGCATTCTAGCACTAACCTTCTCCTACTTAAGACGTGTTTCCCAATTCCCCTCCAACAGAAACTACACGGACTGAAAAATAAATAACGAAAATTACTACTTAACAACATAAGGGACCAGACTGTAATTTAAATAATTATGAAAGAACAGAATAGACTCTTCTCCAATAGCTCGAATACATTCCATCCTCCATTTTGAGAACCTTGTCCTCGAGGTTCAAAATTAGGAAATTGGGACTTGAGGAAATTATAATCCTCCCAGGTAGCCTCAGGTAGCAGATTTTCCTAATGCACCAGAACCTGAACAGCAACATCATTTCCCTTCTTGATCATCCTTCTGTCCAGAATAGGTTTGGGTGGTGTATTAGGACTTGTTGGTATGAATTGGACGGGGTCCCGGAGGGCTCGGGTGTGTTTCAGATGGGTTTAAGATCAATTTGAGGTTAGTTGGCAGTTCTGGTACAGGTTTTTCGCACCTGCAAGGTATGGTGCACAGGTGCGAGTACACAAAAGCGGTAGGGAGACCGCAAATATGGAGCCTGGCTGGAAGCGGGTATTCCGCATGTGCAAAGGAAGTGCGCAGAAGCGATGGTGCATCTACGAGGTCTTTGCGCAGGCGTGATTCCACAGAAGCGGAACTTGTTGCGTAGGTGCGATGGGTCGGGAACTTAAGTGAGCTCACATATGCGAGCATTGGACCGCAGAAGCAACAGAATTGTTCACAAACGCAAAAATCGCTGGACAGTGTTATATTGAAGGTTTTGCCCATTCTTCATTATTTGGAGATTTGGAGCTCAGCTAGATGCGACTTTTGGGGGGATTTTCGTTTTTCACCATACTTTAGAGGGTAAGTAATCTCCACTTGATTTTGATGTTAGATCTTGATTCCCTATTGTTTTGTGCACTTGGAATATGGATTTGAGAGAAAAATTGGGGTTCCGTGCTAGATTTTTTGGAGAGTGATTATTTGAAATTTGAACCCCGACTCAAAGTTGGATTTTGGTGAAACTTGTATATTTGGACTCATATTAAAATGGGTAATTTGAATTTATGACTTTTGTCGGGTTTCGGGATGCGGGCCCGGTTGGCATTGTGTATTTGATCAAAGATCGAGCCTTTATATTCCATTATTGTTTCCTATAGCATTATTTGATACCGTAGTGTATTATTTCACTAGATTCGAGCCGTTCGGAGGTCGTTTTGCATGAGAAGGCATTTTTGGAGTATTAACTTGGCTCGTTTGAGGTAAGTATCTTGCCTAAACTTGGTTGAGGCACTAGTTGCTTGAGTTATTGATGTTTGCTACACATTGAGGGTGGCGTACCTGCATGGGTTTGAACGTATGTGCGGGCACAGGGGTTTATCCATGTTCGGGTAGTTCTTGGGCTATGTTATACCTTGTTTGGGATATTGTGATTCTTGATAATTGATATCATGTTTTATATGATTGTATGACTACGTAACCTCGTAAATCACGCTAGAGATCATGTGTAGGTTTGCTTGTCCCTGTTTGAACATGATACTCATTGTTGTGCGGTGTAACCGCCTAATTTGAACAGTATTTGTACACTTCGCACATGCATACGCGTTATTATGCTATTTGATCAGTCCAGAAGTACGTGATTTGATATCCATTGACGTTATAATGTATATACTTTTTGTTTTGTGGATTGGTTTGGCAGCACGTGAGTTGTCCGTGCAGGTTGAGTTGACTATGGCACGTGACTTGTCCGTACCGATGTTATGACTATGGCACATGAGTTGTCCATGTGGATGTTCTATTTATGGCACGTGAGTTGTCCGTGCGGATGTTCTGTTTATGGCAGCGTGTGGATAAGGATCCAATCCCCTAGGATCGTCCTCTCATGTTTCTGCTTGATAAGGTACACGCGGTTGTGGAAAACTGATGAGTGTTGGGTTTTTGTGTATCTTCTCTATATGCAAATCCTTAGGTGTATACATGACTTTTACTGCATATCTCCTCTATATGCTAGCTTTGTACTCGTATACATGCCTCTTTAAACATATATCCTCCATATGTTGTTCCTGTCGACGAAATGATACACAAACATACCTTCTTTATATGTCTCTCTCTGTGTGACTTAACATGCCTATTCAGAGGCGGAGCCAGAATTTGAAGCTTATGGGTTCGTCATTGTAGTCCGTTTAAGTTACTTGGTTCTAAATTAATAATTTGTACATATTCAACAAATTTCTTAAGACAAATACATAATTTTGACCAAAGCTACTGGGTTCGACTGAACCCGTAATGCGTATGCTAGCTCCGCCTATATGCCTATTATTGCATATCTGCTCTATATGTTGGACCGTTATTCTATCACGAAGCTAGTACATATCTTCTATATGTGCACCGTTGGCTTTACCTGCATTCACGTGTAGATTAGCGCTGCGTATTTGTACATATCATGAACTGTACAAATTTATCACGTGAGTATCATTGGTGACTCTAGCCACTATCTTTCCGAGTTTAGTCATGATACTTATTAAGTACATGAGGTTAGTTGTACTCATACTACACTCTGCACTTAATTGTGCAGATCTAGGTGTGAGACCTAGCTGAGAGCTGTGCTGGATTATTGTTGAGCTGCTGAGAGACGAGGCTGCATTCCAATCGCAGTCCTTTGCGTCTATTCCCATTTCTGTTACTGTTGTTGTTATTCAGACAATATTTTATATTACCAGACTTGTACTCCTGTTGTAGAGCTCATGACTCTGTATTACCAGTTCTAGGGAATTGACTGTATTGGCGCAGTCTTTATTTATGATATTTTGCTTTTAGACTTGCATTATTTCGTAATTCGTTATCTTGTTGCAATGATTAGCTTGCCTAGCAAGTGGGTTAGGTGCCATCACGATCAGAGATGGTTTTGGGTTGTGACAACAATAAACTGCTGGCAGCAAAAGGTCTCATCCTAACGGTTAGCATATGGACCCATAAAAAAAGCAGTATACTTGCTTGGACTGTCAAAAACTGGCTAGCCCCTTTTTTAATTTTCCTAATAAGAGCTAATATACAAAAGCTGACAAGTTTAAGCTTACACGAAGTACCGGAGGATAGTACATTACAACACATTTAATGATCTGCTAACAATGAAAGGCTACTGGCTAAAGGTCAGCGTATGGACCTCAAGGAAAAGCAGAATTGTTCGGATAGTCAGAAACTGGCAAGCCCTTGGGCTTACAATTTTCCTGAGAAGAGCTGATATATAAGAGCACCCAATTGGCAGCATACTTGACGCTTTGGAGCTTACAAGCCTTACACTACATATAAAATCATCCACTAGCAGGGGAAGGTCACTAAAGGTTAGCATTTTGACCTCGAGGAACAGCAATGTACTTGCTCGGACAGTCAGAAACTAGTACATTAGAGAGCTCTTCAAGCCCTCAATTTTACAAATTTTCCATAAAAGAAGCTAATGTAGCCGAACTAAGTTGACCACCATTAAGAATATCTGTTAAGAATCAATTAGGATGGTTACATATCGATTGGGATGAGTACATGCTTGTAATCATGAAATATTTTCCTATTTTACAACACGGATAAATGCCATTTAAAACCCTAATAACTTTAGGGAATAATTAAGTCGGAAAGATACCAAAAGTTTCTTCCTTATTTCTTCACATACTAGAATGTTGAGTCCCTATTTTGATTACAGTTATTTTTTTTAATTAAAAAAACTATTTTTAACAAAGAAGCAAAGATGGTCCGAAGGAGGATTCTTCGATTCAACACTATCTAGCAATCTCCGAACAGCACAAACCACTCAGATTGGATGCCCAAGCACTGTAAGCAACGGCTCCTCACAGGAAGATGTATGTGCATAGCCTACGTGCCATCTCAACCTCCTTGCGCGTGAACCATCTCATACGGATTTCTTTTGAAAGCAATCATTCCACCGAGATCATCCAAGCCTTTCGCATCATTCTGACTATTTACCACTCTCTGAATCTCAACAGTTTAGCCTATTTAGGTTCAAGCAACTACCAATGCTTTTTTCATCAGCTCAGTTCTTCCTTCGATTTTGTGCTTTTGTTCACATCATTCCAACTATTTATCACTCTCAATCTCAACA